AMTGTAGATTTGTAATKAAAAATGTCAGTRTAAGGCTATAAAAGAATAAAATGKCTCAAGCCAAAAARGGTAAAAAATGTGARAACCTATCAAGTAGGGTCCTGTGRAATGGTTTTGAACAATTAAAAACTCAACTATGATAGATAGTGATTGACTCCAGCTGKTAGTTTTGTCTTTGCCAGCATAAAAATGTTTTGTTTTACAGCATTTATTGGATTGACCCATACTCAGTATAACAAGAAAGTCCAAGAAGCTCAGTGAAGGTGTAAGAAGAGATTAGCATTCTCAGGAACAACCAGGATTTCAAATCGAAGAACATTTTACCAGCTGTCAGGCATGGTGGTGGTACTGCACAAAGCTGATAGAATAATGAAGGYGAACTACTTCCAAATTCTTCAATTTGACCTTAAATCAAGAGTTAAAGAATCAAATCTGAACATAATTAGGTTTTCCAGCAAGGCAGAGATCCAAACCACACATCAGAAGAACTGGTTTGAGCTTCTGGAATGGTCTCCCTTAAATCCTGAACTCTCAATCTCATAGATTATTTGATGATTATACCTAAAAGCCAGGAAACCATTCTGCCAATAAGAGTACTCACATACCCAGTCAGAGAGGTCGAAGCTTGTTGATGGCTACAAAGTGTATGGTYAAGGTACACGATGTTTAAGGAAGTTGGACCTGCGTGGAATTGAGTGAATCTACATTAAATTCTAACTTGTGCACACATTTCATTTTCAAAACTAAACTCATTTAAACTATTGTAGTGTAGTCATTCCACCCTGAGGAAAAAAACTACAAATAAATTATTAAAAACAAACAAATGACATTCATGACATTTAAGTGTGCATGCAAACCTTTTGACCACACCTGYAAATGAAACATATCAAAAATGTATTCATTCTATTAAGTTGTGTATGTATGCACGCCTGTAGCAGCATGAAACGAGGTAACAGACTTATTTGCTAGACGGATACCTTTACACACATCTCATTTAATCTACATTTGAGCTGGTGAGGGGTGTGTATGGGGGGAAGGCGACTCGATCGGCAGCCGTTCTACACTAGGGACAACACAGGATACTGTAACCCAAGTAAAAATAACCCCACCCCTGTGTGATATGGCTTTTCTCCAGCCTCTACCAAGTGAAATCCTCTCATGAGAGGAGAGTCTGGGAGCCGACTGCAGGAAGGGACAGACCTTGCTGTGTTGTTGCAGACCCCACCCAGCCTTTAGCCATACAAAGAGTGATAACAGAGCAGTGAGACGCCACGGGCGAGGGGAAGTTGCAAAGCAGGGACTGCTAGCAACATGCACAGTATAAATGTCCAACTATGATAAATAATTAATATTTAGGTGAAATATCTGAAACCACAATGCTTATTTTAACTTATAGGAAGTTATCTTTTTAACTTTTTTATTCCTCTCCTCCTGATTTGGATCATTCACCAATGTGCACCACAATCCTAGCAGTTAGGTCGTGGTGAATGGGGATGGATGAAGAACCCATATGAGYGGGGGCCGCTTCTTAATTGGGCCCACTGCTCTCCCCAAAAGGACAGTGACCTTCCTCAGATGGACACATGCAAACACTGTGTTCTAAGACTCTCGGGATCCATAAATGGGTCCCCAAGAACTTTTTTCCTTTGACTTTTCAGAGCCAGACCGTGACCTAAATAGTGCAAAGAGGTTTCTAATAGGGATGTCCCAATCCAAATTTTTTGGCTCCCGATACAATCCGATTTCTTTAACGATTAGTCTTTCCGATACCGATTCGATAGCTTTATTTCTTTCCAAGTGACAAGGTTGCTAGTATTAAAGCGAGCCCTTCTGTTCCCACCACGAGAAACATCCAGTTTACAGATTTTAAAAGATGCAGTTTCAGCATCATTGTTTTCTTTTGAAATGTTCCCACACTGTGGACATGGTTGCATACCTGTGTGCGTCTTGACTTCTTAACGGCAGTTGTAAAGCATGATGATGCTGAAAACTGTCGCGAAAACTGGATCACATGAATAAATCCGATTCTACCAGATTTTTAAAAAATGTCCATATCTGCCACCGATCCCGATACTGAGTATCTGATCAGGACATCCCTAGTTTCTAATCCAATGCCACAGGCATCACACGGAGACATCGTCATGGAGTCCCATCACCATTTTGTGGCGGTTGAGCAGATTGTGCCCAGTTAGGACTCCAACCAGTGTATTCAAAGTTTTTCTTGTCAGGGTGATGAGAGCTTTCCCAAACCTAAATTTTGGTCCAGTAATCAGGTTCCATGCCTGTCTATATTCCTTCAGCTGCCTCCAGCAAATTGAGTGTTGACATCTAATCCAGGTCTGTAGCATTTAACTCTTCTATTTGACTCAAATCCATAAAAAGTGTTTGTTTTTTAAGCAGAGCTGAGCTGTACAATATCTCCCGTACTTCTGCAGTCTTTCAACAAGTCATAGATGTAAACCCCAAAACCTAGGATCCAATCCTTAACTGGCTTCCTGTTTGTGATCAGCGTTGGCCTCCAATTTCCGGACACCACCTTCAAACATTAAAACCACTTTCATTGCACTTGTTGCCAGAAGATATCTGCTACTTAAAGGACCTGCACCAGGTGGTATTTGCATTGGTGTGTGAACCTGAAGACTCTGTAACTGGACAGGACCCAGACTGCCGATGCTACTGGGGTTCTCGGAAATGATGGACTTGCTAAGTTTAGGGCACATGAAAGAGGAGAAGCAGTACAGTATCAACACTCATGTGACTTGATGAGGAAGACAACCAAACTTCAGTTGACACCAACTTTAAATGCCAAGTATTCACACTTGTTGAATCAGGACAGAGGCAGATAAATCAAATGATTAACACAGGGACATCCTGCAAAATGGAAATTGGTGCTTTATACTCTGTTTTATTCTATACATTTCAGTAAATGTGGAACTCACAAGAAAAACTTTGTTGTAGATAATATACTGTTTTACTATGTGCCAAACTGTGTTAGTTATTTTCAACTAAGAAATTCAGAACAAATCTTTCTATAAGTCAGACTGCTAGTAACAAAGAGATTAAATATACAGTTTAAAATGGATTCTTTCAGTTGTCTGGTTTATGCAGACACACTGGATTATCTGCTGGGTGTGGTTTTATACTTGAATTAGTCTTAGATCAGTATTAAGAAACCCGACAAACAAAAACATTCCTCTAAAACTCTGTGTTTAGTAGACTTACTTATAAGGCAATGTTTTGCATGCTTGGTTTTCAAGAGTCTGAAAGCTYTCGAGTCATCAGAGTGACAGAACAGCACTTTAGATGGGAACAGATATCTGGAACCAAATTGTTTTTCTTCCTTTCTATGTGTTCAAAAGCCATGATGTCGGTGTTCTGAAGGAGCACAATCCTTCATTGTCCTGGCTTTGTTTATCCTTTCTCTCTGTGGTCCAGATACATGCAAGTATTGGCCTACTTCACTTTAAAAATAATCTACTAAACCAGGCCAGTGTTCCCTGAGTCACATCACCTTTGTTCATCTCAGTAAATGAAGCAGGAACTGTTACCTTTTTGTATAGGACGAGAATAGTATGAATGATCTATGTTTTTCTTTTCTTTATCTCATGGTTCTGTTCATTTTTCTTCGACAGGCATGCTGCAGAACGGGAAAAAGTTCGACTCATCCCGAGACAGGAACAAACCCTTTAAGTTCAAGATTGGGCGGAGTGAGGTTATTAAGGGCTGGGAGGAAGGAGTAGCACAGGTAATGACTATTTGAGATTTCCCTCCTTGTTCAATATTACACAATGAAAAGATGATGCAACAAGTACAGCACAGAAGAACCTTTACAAATAATCATAGTTTGGTAGAGTTCCTTTAATAGGTGTGACACTTTGCTACGCTACTCTATTTTATTCTGCATGATGAGTGTAACGACTGCACTAAAAGCCACTGAGGTGTTGTTCACACCGTTGTGCTTAAACTTCTTGTGTTTTAAAACTCACCAGTCCAAATTACTTTCATGCATTGAATATCATGTTTATTACTTGCAACATATATTTAAGATTCATAAAGTTTCCATTATTGTTCATAAACAAGCAGTAATTTCCACAATAACATAAACTGTTCGTCTACCACATGTGGAACCAAAATACAAGGTCCCAAATCCTGGTTCTTGAAGCCCACTTTCAACCTTTTCTGTGCTTCAACACAMCTGATTCAAATAATTGAATTACCTACTCTGATTATCTGGAGGTGCACAAAATTGAAAATTTTGAGCTTTTCATCGTGTTATAATGTCATTCCCTCATTAAAAACACACCGGTGTGTTGCTTTGACTCATTCATGCATGTTTTAGAAGTCCTTGAATCTTGTGTGGTAGCCATTTGGAGCTGTCTAAACTCGTGCTGGGACAAAGCACCGCCTATTTGTACATAGCTCCTCCCTGGAGCTCAGTCCCCTGCCAAGCTCCAGTCCCACAGAGCACCRAAGCAATGTTGTGAAGATGTGCTGAAGTGGGAGTGTCTGAAATGGTAGGAGGTTCTTGAAGAGACAGAGGCCAATTTCAAGGTGTTTATTTTTGATACRGTATATACAGCTTTTYCATAACAACTGAAGGTAACACAGTTCCTTAATTGTGGTATGTGCCTGGAAAATACAAAATATCCCCCCTTAAAAAGACAAAATACATGCAACACCTACTGGCCTAATTAGAGTATTACATATAACAAAACAATGTTCCTACAATAACATTACAGGACGTGTATAGCAGCAGCATTTGGGGCCACCAATACTTCCTATCTGAGGGTTAAGGGGTTAATTTGAACTGACAAGGGCCTTCACTCTCCATGGGTTTTTTGGCTTTTCAAACACCAGATGTTTACTCTTATAGAAAACAGTTGTTTTTTTCTAATTGCAGTTTATGTTTATGTGTGAGGAGGAATAAAAGAAAAGAGAATCAATATACAAACCAGACATGTTTCTTTTTTGCCTCAGATGAGCCTTGGTCAGAGGGCTAAAATYACTTGCACACCAGACATGGCGTATGGAACAACAGGCCACCCTGGGGTCATCCCGCCGAACGCCACGCTTATTTTTGATGTGGAGCTGCTGAAGCTGGAGTGACCGMCTGCTCCTCAACGCAAAAACAAAAAGGTCAAGAAGGCTGTGCTCGCCACATCCTGTTCCTGCAGGGAGACCATACCTGGCTGCTGCCTTCCTACTTTCACCTGCTCACGTTTCTTATCTTTTGATTTCTAACGTCTTGTTCAGTTCAGTATTTAAAATGTAACGTCTGCTGCTTTGTTGCCATCCTGTCAGAATGGATTAATGAKCATACCCTTCAATACTTTTGACACTCAAATGTTTTAGTTTCTGTTTCTCTTTTCAGTTTCATCCCATGTAGGTTTTGTCAGAAACTCTTTAAGCAGATGAAAAAATTGCATTGCAATCTAAATGGCCTTACAGTTTAAACAGGACAGGGTATATACTGATGTTGAAGACACAACACCTCTGCTCTGTACGTGAACTGGGCATTATACCACTTCGATAAAGGCTTGTACTGGTAAATATTCTAAATCAATGTTACGCCTCAGTTTATTTTATAACCTAWATGCACATTCACTGCAAGTGTACCCTATGAAATTTACCCCAATACTGTRCAGCACCCATTAAGAGCCATTACTGACCAACTCTTGAATAAATATGGCATGTACTGTGTTGAGACCTTCGCTTCCTGTTGTTAATGTCTCTTAATGATGATTCTTATTGAAGTTTTTGACTCAATGAAAAAAGATGAGATTCTTCACAATGTAATGGATAAAAGAGCAAATAAATCAAGCGTATCCTATAGAGAACGTGTTAAAATTAACGTTAAGAAAGCATCATATTGTCATTTATCATGTCTACTTCTGACCTCAAAAAATKGTCTCAAAACATCTTAAGAAAATAGTTTACAAARTTGTTCCTCTGTAAAACTGATACCGCAGCTCAGGCCTCTACAACATTGAGTGTTTAGAAATCAATACTTGGTGCTCGTGTTTGAGATTCTAATTGTGAACAACTGAGCGCGTTTTGTTGCTGAAGGGAGTAATAAACCACACCTCGTACAGCTTCAATTAAATTATTACATGTAGTTTTGAAGTCAGCTCAGTCAAAGTGCACAGATAACACTCAGATACAATAGCTTGAAAACAAATACAGTATTTTAGAAGCATAGAAGGTTAAACTTCCTTTAGATTATGTCTTAAAAGATACTCCGCTTCCCCTCTTCCAACAATGTGACATGTTTTTGACAATAAAATTYACACTGTATTCTTAAAGCAAAACTTGTCCCTTTTTTCTTTTGAGTGGCCTAAATTCATTTACAGTTAGGTCCATATACGGTATATTTGGACACTGACAAATTTTGTCTTTTTTACATGTTTACTGAAACGTATTCAAGTTATAGTTATATAATGTACATGGACATAAAGTCCAGACATTTAGCTTTCATTTGAGGGTATCCACATTAAAATTGGATGAAGTGTTTAGGAGTTTCAAACTCCTTAACGTGCCAACCTGTTTTTAAAGGGACCAAAAGTAATTGGACAATTGACTCCAAGGCTATTTCATGGACAGGTGTGGGCAATCCCTTCATTATGTCATTCTCAATTAAGCAGAKAAAAGGCCTGGAGTTGATTTGAGGTGTGGTGCTTGCATTTGAAGGTTTTGCTGTTTAGTAAACATGCAGTCAAAGGAGCTCTCCATGCAGGTGAAACAAGCCATCCTTAAGCTGCAAAAACAAAAAAAAAACCATCCAAGAAATTGCTACAATATTAGGAGTGGCAAAATACAGTTTGGTACATCCTGAGAAAGAAAGAAAGCACTGGTGAACTCATAACTCATAAAGACTAAACTGCAGACAGAAAGGCCCACAAACAAACAGCAACTGAAAACCACCACAGTGAAGGCCTGGCCCAGCATTAAAAAGGAGGAAACAGCGTCTAGTGAAGTCCATGGGTTCAAGACTTCAGGCAGTCATTGCCAACAAAGAGTTTTCAACAGAGTACTAGAAATGCACATTTTATCTACAATTATTTAATCTGTCCTATTACTTTTGAGCCTCTGAAATGAAGTGATTGTGTTTAAAAGATGCTTTAGTTTCTCACATTTTTATGCAATCATTTTGTTCAACAACCCACTGAATCAAAGCTGAAAGTCTGAACTTCAACTGCATCTGAAGTGTTTTGTTTAAAATTCATTGTGGTAATGTCTAGAACCAAAATTAGAAAAATGTCTGTCCAAATATATATGAACTTAACTGTATAATGTTTATAAAATTGATACTTTAGTTGGTATAAGCCCATCATTACAGTAGTTATAGCAGTCTAGTCTGGAGATKAGCACCTCCAAAATGAGTCTATGGTCTTCAGTCAGAAAAGGGCGGATTGCTCTCTCCAGGTTAGTGAGGTTCTGTTTCAAGTGGAGGAGTTCAAGTATSTTGGGATTTTGTTCACAAGTGAGGGAGTGTGTCATTGACAAATTGGTTCAGCTTCAGTACTGTTTTGTGTTGATCTGTTGTGTTTAGGAAGCTGAGCTGTAAGGCGAAGCTCTCTGTTTAATGGTCAGTCTACGTTCCTACCCTCATCTATGGTCATGAAATTTGGGTAGAGACCAAAAGAACAATGTCGCAGWTGYAGGAGGTTGAAATGAGTTTTCTCTGCAGGGTAACTGGACTCTCCCTTACAGATAAGGTGAAAAGTTCAGTTATTCACTAGAGCCGCTGCTCCTCCACATCCAGAGCAGCCARTTGAGGAGGTTCATCTGGTAAGGATGCTCTTCGGACACCTCCCTAGAGAGGTGCTTCAGCCATGTCCAACTGGGAGGAGACCCCAGGAGAGACCCAGGACACACTGGAGAGACTATGGGAATGCCTTGGARTCCTCCCAGAAGATCTGGAAGAGGTGACTGTGTAAAGAAARGTCTGGACCTCCCTTTTTGATCTGCTGCCCCTGCAAACTGATTTTGGAGCAAGTGGTAGATAATGGATRGACGGGTGGTCTGYGGAGAATGAGATGACCTATAATACAAAAATAAAGTACWAGACCAGTATTTCCAAAGCAATAAAAAGATAAATCATGATTATGATGCATCATGGCAAGTTGTTTTGTAGCACTGTTTCTGTCAAGCTCATAAAGCTTTAATAACACACAGGTGTCACAGTTTAAAACTTCACAGGTTGCTTTCACACAACGTGATAAAATAAACATGTAAAAACTGACTAAATTAAACAAAGCATTATACATATGTACACAGTTCACTGTCCAAAGACTGTACAGTCCTTTTCAGCTTCTGTCACACTGACAGACTCAAGCCAAAGTTGTCAGAGATGCACTTCAGCTGACCTCGCTTTGATGACTACACCTTCAGAYGGTGTAAAAAGCCCACCACAGGTCTTCAACTAGATGAAGGAGAATGAGGTGCTGTTCCTTGGTCCCTCTCCACCCACCTTAAATCATAATATTTATGATAAATTATGTAACTGCAAAGAGTGATTTCCACATACAGATGATGTTAGTGTCGATGGTAACAAAGCATGCCAACTCGTTCCATTTATCAAAAGTGTTAATGTGCCCTAAATATTAGATACTAGGCTCGTTCACAAAACAGTTTTGTGAAACAGCCTCAAAGACAGGTCTCGTCTTTAAGCTGCTTTTGGCTGTTCATAAATCACAGATGGAGTCTAAGTCAGCTCACTTTTTCACGTTGACTGTTAAAGGGACCCCGATAAGTTGTACCATTAGACTTTATTTGATAAACATATTTTAACTATAAATAAAAACTGTAAAAATAGGTTGTTTAGTTTTTATAGTTTTTAAACTAAAAGTTTAAAAATATATTACACGGACGGGGTCATTTTATTTACATGCAAAGCATTCTGGGTAAATGACGACATGGATAGGTCCTTGGTGCGAGGCTGCTAGCGAGCTATATCCACCCTGAAGGTTAATCTTGGACAATATCTGATGATCGACTCTTTTAAATGAAACCAGAGAGCGTTGACAGAGAGGAGAAGGTAGAAATGACTCAGCCTGTAACTGAAAATATAGATGGAGGACAACAGAGCTGCTTCATGGAAGAAGAACTTCACCTTAGCCTGTTAGCTTTAGCATTAGCACTGATGCTATCACCATAAATATGTATTAGCTCAGCGCTACACGTTCTCCTCTCATCACTGAGGTCCTCCATCCACATGACAGAGAGGGGAACACAAAAATGACTGCTTGCAACTGAAAATATGGATGGAGGACCTCAGTTTAGCTTGTTTGTCGTGCTAGCGCTGAGGCTAACAGGCTAAGCTGAGGTTCTTCTTCCATGAAGCAGCTCTGTTGTCCTCCATCCATATTTTCAGTTACAGGCTGAGTCATTTCTACCTTCTCCTCTCTGTCAACACTCTCTAGAAATAGCCAATCGTCAGATATTGTCCAAGATTAACCTTCAGGGTGGATATAGCTCACTCACACTGACGACCTATCCACGTCATCATTTACCCAGAATCCTTTGCGTGTAAATAAAATGGCTCCATCCRTGTTAAAATATATTTTTAAAAATTTACAAAACTAAACAGCCTACAGTATTTTTACAGTCTTTATTTTACAGTTAAAATAWATGTTTATCAAATAAAGTCTAATGTTACAACTAATCATGGATCCCTTTAAGGCTCTGTTTMTGCCTCTCTTTCTGGCACAAACAACTTTGTAGTGCACAAAGATTAGTGTTTCACATTGGAAGTTTCATACTGGACCCTCCTTACAATTTGGTGGCAGTAATGCTCCATGAAGTTGTTTGTCAACCGCCAATAAATACCACAACAAAAAGAAAAAGAAAATAATAATAATAATAAAAAAAGCATTGAAGATGAACTTACAGTGCCCACTTTGGTGACACTGGATAAAGAAAATTTATCTTGTGGCCACACGATAATATCACGTGGTCATAAGATAAATATTGCGTGGCCACGCAATAATAATGAGTCATATCGCACTGCAGAAGGGATGACTTTGCTCCTTTTTACCACCTCAGTCTGYTCAGAAATCACAAAAAGGCAGCCAGGAGTCAGTCCTGACTTTAAGTGTTTTGTTAAAGAGCCTTGCTCAACAGCCACTTTGGAAAGTCTGGCATGCTCCGCTACAACGAACAATAAGAACCAAGTCTTACCTTCGTAGGGAGCGAGGGTCAGGCAAGGGCAAAACCCCTCGGACAAAGTCGTAGGCTTTTGGTGAATAAAGGTGCAATGTGCGTGCAAACTCCTTCTGTTTCTCTGAGTATTGATTGTGGGGTTTGTAAAACAGGTCCTCTGGAATATCTTTAAAAAAAACAGAGTCTGATTTACACATGCTGCCATTTCTTGAAATGATCATTTTTAAACCGTGTGCCTTCTGGAGTCAAATCATGTGCTTTATTGAGGGTATGGTTATTATTTGGTAAAACAGGAAATAAAGTTGTCTTTATTCAATTGTTGAAATAAGCAGGAACTACTGTGCACACATTCACTCAGCCTTAATAGTAATACACAAACCTTTAAAAGCTTCCATTTTAGCTTCCAGCTCCGTCAGCAGCTGGTTACGTTCTTTCAGTTTATTGGCGTAACATTTTGCTCTCTTTTCCCTTGCAGCTGCATTTTTCARTTCTTTTTGGAGATCATTTATTTGCTGTCGGAGGTCTTTAACGAGCTTTGCTGCGCCACGTGGACTCTCCAGAAAGTACGTGTGATCCTGCAGGTGTCAAGAAACGTTCACATTCTGATACAATGCGATAACCAGGCTTTGTACATACACATATACTGTAAATATTCATATAAACTACAGTCTAATTGCTGCTTACGTCGAGAAGGTTGGATGCATTCAGACCGACTGCAGTGACAGCACAGTCTGCAGCATCAGGCGGCGGCACTGCTGCAGCTTCAGATGCTGCTGTTTGACTTGGCTCAGTTTGTGTCTGTAGGATAAAMACACTACAGTGAAAAATCGTGCTTTCTAACACGCTGACACTGAAGCGAAGCCGTTTAACATTTAACCTGAACGTGGACAGCATCACTGCTGTCAGCGGGATCCAGCGGCGCTGCAATTTTACATCTCGAAGTTCTCCTCGGCTTAGTTTGTGTCTGTAGGATGAAGGGATGATACATCACAACGCTTTTTTAACTTGCCGACACTGAAGTGACGGTACGTGCTGTAAAATGTTTTACCTGGAGATGAGCAGGATCATTAGTGTCGGCAGCATCAGGTGGGGGCAATGCTGCAGTTTGACTTGGCTCAGTCTGAGTCTGTAGAATAAAAGTACACTGTAAAAACTTTTTGAACTCCGTGACGCTGCAATGAAAGTACAGTTGAAACTCGATGTTACAGTGTATAAAAATCAATCCTTTCATCCCCACACTGACATTAAATCATTCTAATCGTTAGTTTAGTTTAAGTCTGGTTTGCCAAATTTATTAAGATAATAMCTTTATTTGAGAAAGCCCAAATGATGTCATTGCTTTTTTTTGATAGGTTAGTAGACAACATCTGAGCACGCCTCAAATACAAGTTTTTGTATGATGTCATGGAAAAATACAAATAACACAAAAACAAAGACAAATGTATATAAACTTGTAAACTAAAACTCTTTCTCTCATTGTTTGGACGTTTAACAAAAGGGAATAACTTTGACCTAAAACAGGAAAGGTTAAGTCCACTGTCAGAGATTGTGACAAAAAAAATAGATTGACTTTTTACACACTKTATGTAAACATCTGTTTTCCGCTGTAAAGGATTTAACCTGAACATGAGTGGCGGCAGTGACTGTGGTCTGAGGCATTTGGTGGGGGTCTTGCAGTTTTTCTATGTTCTGTTTTTACCTGTTTAATTATCCAATGAAAAACGCACAGTTTAACTATCGAACACAGAAGTGAAGGTAAATGCTGTAAAAGGATGAACCTGGACACGAGCGGGGTCAGGGTCAGTACTGTCGTCAGCATCAGACGAGGGTAAAGCTGCACTTTTAGATCTTGCAGTTCGTCTCGGCCTGGGCTGTCTCGGCTCTGCCTGTGTCTGTAAAATACCAGTAATTACATTCAAATGCTTACTTTTTAAGTCACAGTCACTAAAGTGAAGTTAAACAGTGTAAAACATGTGTCAAACACAAGACCCGCGGGCCAAATGTGGCCCATGGCTGACTCCCGTGTGGCCCGCCGGGGGGGATAAAATATAAATTTAACTTAAAGGCACAGTGTGTAGGACTTTGTCAATTCTTTTAGCCGAAATAATAAAAAACATGTCTAATCATTGCAAAGACCTTGTTTTATTATTTTTACCTTATAAAAAGCTGTTTATATCTCCATGGTCGCGGGTCGCCAGTACAGGCAGCCGCCATCTTGCACCGCCATCTTGTCTACGAAGGCTCATGAAGGACAAACTGCGGTGGCGGCGTCAAAAACGGTTTTAGTTGTAATACTATAAATGTAATATTTGTTGTCYGTCATTGTAGCTGGGATAATTTTATTTATTAAAGCTCATAATCTCACCACTTGAAACATCACTAGCCCTGAAGCTGCTGGTAGACATCGTGGTTGGAATTATCAAAGGTTTTTGACACCTGAGAGACACCGTAGCAACTCCTTTGCGTTTGGAAGCGGGGGGTGGGGGTGGGGGGAGGACCAGGGAGGATGATTCAACCACTCAACCACTAGATGTCGCTGAAAACAACAAATCCTACACGCTGTGCCTTTAACATGAAATTTGTTTCTTATATCAATGGTAAACTTTAAATTTATGGTTAAACGCAACAAAATTAATTTAATAAAAATAAATGAAATAAAAATAAATTTAAAAAAAAATCCTGCCCTGAGCTGTTGGCTTGAAGTAACTGAGCAATTTAGTTGGATAGCACAGTACTAATGTTTGAATATAAACTGCTTTAAAGTCACCATCAAACATAAACTAAATCTGCCATAATGCAGCTACTCACTAGAAACTCATCAGTGAGTAAAACTCTATTAATTTTACTTTTAATAGTCAGTTTTTTAGTCAGTCATACACTTAGTTCTTATCAGTGTTTAAAAGAGGACATGTTAAAGCTCTGTTTAGTCAAAGTTAAACATGAAACATCAAAGTTCATTACAAGTGGCCCTTCGAGGGCCACCATAACGCTCATGTGGCCCTCGGTGAAAATGAGTTTGACGCCCCCTGGATCTAACCTGAGGACGAGCAGAGAGAGTGTCGCTGTTTTTGGAGGCATCAGATGCTGCAGCTTTGGACCTTGCGGTTCGTTTTGGATTAGTTTGCCTTGACTCCGTTCGTTTCTGTAGAATAAAACAGACAATACACTGAACGACTTAGCTTTTTTTTTTAACTCGCTGACACTGACATGATGTAAATGCTGTAAAAAAGGATTTAACCTTGAGATGAGCAGGGAAGTTAAATATAGTAGGCAGAGCACCCTCTCTCAGGCGAACGGTCTGTCCTGTACGGTCCATGGCGGCATCAGTGAAATGGTCGCTGCACAGCAGGGACCATTTAGACGGCAGGCTGTCACTTCTCCGGCAAGCCTTCACCCACTGCTTGTATCTGTCTGGTTCCCTGCCTTGTTTTGGGAAACTGGAAATGATTAAAAGCCAGATTAATTTGTGTGTGGAGCATGGCTTTGTAAACTGAGATCAGAACAGCAGTGAAACACGCTTTCCTGCGTGAGAGGTATCTTGGGGGTCCTCAAAAAATTCCACCAAATTGTTAATTTGTTTTTTATTTTTTAAAATGCATGGAGAACAATGAACCAATAAAACAAACATAACAAACTTAATAAAATATATATTCCCATGGCATTTAGGGGTTGAAATGACAATAAATTATCTTTTAAAACAGCATTTGTTTTATGAGGGGGTCCCTGGAGTTTTTTCGCCTTTGTAAGGGGTCCCCAGACCCAAATASCTTGAGAACCTCTGGTCTAGATGTTAGCTACAGACTTGTTTTTAACCAACACATCTGTATCAGCGACATTTGAATTTTGACATTTGGAGCAGGTGTTACTGACACAACATTTGTGAAAATGCTCTTTGTGCCCCCAAGTCTGTCCCGCTTAGTTCTGGGGGGAAAAATCTGCTGAAACTGCGTAAAGTGAATCTACATATTTACTATCTAAATATTACAATAGTAGGTAACTTATCACTGTAGCACACTTTTTTTTTACAAACTATTTCTTGACAGCTTAGGCCGGTGATCTTCGATTAAAATTCAGCAAGTTCTGCTTCAGAAAAACCTTCTCTAGGAAAGAGTCCAGAATACACATTGTGAGTCAAAAGTGTCAGGACATCTTTTTATTTCTGAAACAAAAGGGGAAATGGCAAATCTGAATACAAAAACAGGCGAGGGGGTCTATTTTTGGAAAAACTTGTCCTTGATCCAATATGGCAGCTGTCAAGATGACAGCCATGTTGCAGATGGCGTAAACGATAGGCCCCCTCACCCATTACCTGCTGCGGTATTTCCCCTTTTCTTTCTGAAATTAAAGAGGTGTCCTGAAACTTTTGACTCACCCTAAAATATTTGACTTATCTTTAGTAGCAGCAAAAAACTAAGTGTGGTTATACTTTCAGACAGTTGGATTTTTCTAAGCTTTCATTAACATTAAAATGCAGCTGTTTGTCTGTGTGGTTTATCTGGTGGTGACAGTAACCAAAAAACATTTACCAATGTGGTAGTATTTTTATTTATTAGTTTCAGAATAAAAATACAACAAAAATTTCACATGCATTGTGTTTGTTCAGTAAGTCCATTTTGTCAGTTGCTACCACTATAAACTAAATGTGTTAAAGAAATTTAAAGCTATAGCTACAGTGGGGAGAAAAAGTATTTGATACACTGTTGATTTTTCAGGTTTTCCCACTTGCAAAGCTTGTAGATGACTGTAATTTTTATCATAGGTACTCTTCAACTGTGAGTGATGGAATCTAAAACAAAAATCCAGAAAAATACAATGTATGATTTTTTAATAATTAATTTCCATTTTATTGTGTGAAATAAGTATTTGATCATCTATGAACCAG